ACTGAAGGAAACGGCGTCGTCAGGTTCCTCCGTCGCCACTCCGGGCTCCTCCACCCCACCCCCTCCGACGGGCTCCAACGGCTCTCTCCGTCCATTCCCTCGCCCCCGCACTGGCCATCGAGCTCCAGGCCGACTCCAACAGGTAGCCGTTTGTGCTATTTAGCTGATTTTTTTTATGTACTGTGTGAAATTGAATGATGTGTGTACTGTCCCATTTGACAGAATTGTTGCTGATTGGGCTGCGTGGTTGTGCAATTTGACAAGATTTGAGTGTTGTGCATTTGCAAGTGCCGTGCAATGGGAGAAATTGACAATGGGATGCCTCAAATTGGCAAGAGGTTTAGAAATCCGGATGAAGCTTGGCTGTTTTGGGTTGCATATGGAGGCCGTGTTGGGTTTGATGTGAGGAAGAGAAACAAGCATGTAAGTAAGATGGATGGTCAAGTGACTTCATGCACATTTGTTTGCTCCAATGAGGGTATACGAAAAAAAGGGATAACAATGGATCATGAGCCAAAACGTGTTCGAGCTGAAACAAGGACAAATTGCAAAGCTCGCATGACTATATCATTGGACCGAGTGCAAAGAAATTACGAAGTCACAGATATTGTGTTGGAACACAATCATTGTCTTCAAGGTGAATATGAAAGATCCATGGCTGCATGTACTAGAGTCTTGGATGGAAATAACAAATTTGGGGTTGCTATTGGGAGTTTGCATGGTGATTTACATTTTGAGGAGGAGCGCATAATGATCGGTGATCCTTTGACCAAAACCGCTTCATGTAGTTGTGGAATGCTCAATAGGACAGGAATATTGTGTGGACATGGTCTCAAAGTTCTTGACTTGATGAATATAAAGACATTACCAACACATTATGTATTAAAGAGATGGACTAGAGAAGCACGCAATGGAAGCATACAAGATAGACAAGGAAGGAATGTGGTAGAGAATCCAAAGTTTGAAGCCCAACTTTGGTACAAGGGTGTGTCTCACAAGTTTCACACTATGGCACATAAAGTAGCCAACTCTCTAGAGTGCCGTTTGATATTAGAAAATGCACTTGATTGCGTTGGTCCACAACTAGATGAGAAACTTGATGCAACTATGAATGCTACAAAAAAGCCATGTGATGACCAAGAAAATGTTGACCCAAATGTGCAACTAACTAGTGAGTTTCTTAGTGTAGCAAAGCTCAAGAAAAAAGAGGTTGCATCAAAAAATTTGAGGAGAAAGAAAGGCTGGCTTGATAAGTTACTCAAGGGGAAGCGCAAGCCAACTAAAGTTGCCCCGTCAAAAAAAAAAGGGAGCAAAGGTATGTTCCAAACTATACATGATATATTGTTGCCACTCGTTGTAAACTAAATTCTGAAACTTTCATGGCAGCAGCAAAAGAAAAATGATGGTGGACAGCCTCAAGTGAGAGTGGAGAAGGATGATGGTGGACAGCGTCAAGTGAGAGTGGAGAAGGATGATGGCGATAAAAGAGCAAATGTGGAGCTTGAAGAGAGCAACACGGTTGTCAGTTACACGCAGCTCTTGATGACTCCCCTTGGTGGTGTTTATGATGAAAATCTGTTCTAACGTGTACAAGCTTGTTAGATAGTATTTTGGACATTTTGAATAGTATTTTGGACAAAGATGACTATAGTATTTTGGATTTTGGGCTGACTATAGTCTTTCGTGGCCTAAGTGTACAAGTAGACTGGCCTAATTTATCTACTTGAAGAATTATGTAAGAACAGATTTTGTTGGTGCCGAATTTGAGTTGCAAATGCTACAAAGTCTGTATATTGTTCAAGTCATTTTGAGTTTACTTTTTAATTCATTGTATAATGTATGCCTCAGGTTCAACTCTTCTTTTTTCAGTTCCTTTTCCAGTACTAAAGTCTTTGTATCAAACACTTTTCTGCTGCAGGCTTTCTACACTGAATTTGTTCTCTGTCTGTAGTTTAACTGAATTTCATATCTGTCTATAGTTGTGTGTAGTTAACTGAATTTGTTCTCCCTCTGCCGGCTGCCAGCTCCAGGACATCCGTCATGGTCGGAGGTAGCATAGAAGGACGTCGGAGGGGGACATGCCTCATCCCCCTTTCCCGCAGCGCGCTGAGGACCTCCCTCCCTTTCCCGTTGAGGTGGTCGTCGGAGCTGAGGTGGGTGGGGCGCCGTCGCAGTGGGGACGAGGAGCTCGTCGGAGCGGAGCGGGGCGGGGAGGTGAAGGCGTGGGGGCGGAAGGGATTGCCGGCGTCGTTTATCCGGTGGCCGCCGCCGGATCTCCCATGGCTCCCTTCCCCACGGCGGCGACAGCGGCAGAGCTCTGCGTCGGAGCCGAGTTCCCGCCCGCGAAGCCTGGAGCTGATTTTGCCTCGCGCGTGAGGAGGAGGACGGGGACCAGGTTGTTTCCGTGTTGACTGATTCTGACCGTCAGATGCAGATGGAGGGTGGATTGGGAGCCTCAAGGCAATGCGTGCCTTGCCTGAGGCGAGGCACTGGATCTCAGTCCTGGCTGGAGTTGCTGACTAACAAACACATCCATTGCAAAACACTATGTAAGCGCATTTTCAACGGCATACTAAAAAATGACCACAAGACCTAAAAACTGATTTATTTATTTTAGCCTTTTGCCCCCCAAAACGGCCCAAACAGCACACCTAAAACTTTATGGGGATAAAAAAATAACCACCTAAATTTTGCTACTGTCTAAAAAAACTAAATTTTGCTACCAAGGAACAATATTTGGGACCTCCCTACCAGGCTACAAAAAACAAAAACGGTGGCGTCAAGCATATATAATCACCGTCCCATGAAACTTCCGCGCCGTTCTGCCGCCCCACCCCCGCCTCCGTGCAAGCTGATTTCAGACGCGGCC